AAGCCTCTAGTCACAGCTGAACCCCTGGTGGTAGTGAGGATCCCAGGGGACAGGAGAGCTGGCTTTAATAATGAAACGGAACAGAGGTCTTCACTGACGTTCACGGTATGAACTTCACCATGGGCTTGTGCTTGCAAGGTGAGAACCATCAGCTATCCACTTTGGAGACACCTCGTCAAAAGGCAGTCTTCTTACAAATTTCCTGGGGAGAGCGGGTCATGGTGACGAATGCCAGCAGGTAGGAGATGTTAGCTGTGACAGCGTTCCCTCCAAAGTTTGACAGAGCACCCCGAGTGAAACGCACTCTCCCTCGCCCTCCCAAGGGTTTCATGACCACAGTCCACAGCCACAGCTGGTTAAAGGAATATCAGTAAAAGAGTGAACTGCTATTCTCAATCAGTGAGCTGTAGCATTCTCTCCTAGGTCTACAGATCTTTTCTTTACCATTATTTAATTTTGAAAAGATAACACAAAAGCAAAATTAATAAAACACCATTCACCACCACAATTAGCAAGTAACACCTTACCATGTTTGCGTCAGGTTTTTCAAATACAGTGTTACAGACACAGAGGAAACCTCCTTCCACCGCTCCCCTCCCAGCCCCACTCCCCTTCCCGAGCGGGAGCCGTCCCAGGGACCGGGCCTGGATCCCCGCAGGCCATGTGCTCACCATGCCCGTTGTTCACACACACTCACAAACCAAGTATAGTCTCGCCTCGTATGTTCTAAAAGTTTAGAATAAGAGTTTGCGGCACATTGTACAATTTAGGCTGGTTATTTTTTTTTTCCACCTAACTTTGTGTTTTAGAGATTCAGCCATGTAGCTGTGTACAGATCTGGTTCATTCGCTTTAATTGTTATAGCCTATCAAACTTATACTACATTTTAATTATCCAGTCTCTCTTTGAGAATCACTTAGGGGGTCTCTAATTTCCGTTACTACAAAGAGTACTGCAGCAAACATCCTATCCATACCTCCTTATGCACATGGTCAGGAGATACTGTGGGACGTATACCTCAGAATCCAACTCGGGGTTTTAATTTCACTCCACAGGATGAATCGTGTTCTCGATGGTACAGTTTCTGCTTCTCATGCTCATCACACGTGTGCTGGGAGACTATTTAATGTTTGCTAATCTAATAAGTGTGAAATGATATTTCATAGTCATTTTAATATGCCTGCTCCATATGAGCACTGAAGGTAAACATCTTTACATGTGTGACTATTATATTAATAGTTTCCGCTTCCGCAAAATACATGTTCAGCCATTCCCCTTTCCAAAACACTGTGAAAAGATGTTTATCGTGTGGATGATTTGAATGCACTGGTAGTTTTAGGATCTGAAACATCAGGTTGGGGTTATTAAGAGTTGACATAAGACTAATGGATTCTGGAACGCCAGAGTAGTGCAGCTCAAGCTGAGGCTCACAGCAGCATCACAGTTTTGCTGGTGAAACAAATGCTTGTTACAGGTTACACGTTTCTGTTGGCTAATGGATGTTTTAAATCCCACACGAATTAAACTATAACCTAGGATTCACGATCCTGAGACAAATCTGGGAGCTGGAGTCTCTGGCTTAGAGCAAAGAAGTAGGGTCTGTTTTCCTTTATGTCTGTCTAAGGAGACCAAAACACAAAGAAGTGGACTCCAGCCTTCCTCCTCCAGACAGGCTGGCAAACAGGCTCGCACACACTCAAACTCAAAACAGTAGTGATGGCAATGACTCTGGGTCAGCATCAGAAAACAGAAGCAGCAATAAAGTCAACAGAATTATTCATATCTAAATACCACAAATAGCTCCAGCCCAAGGGAAGGCATGTATATTTGGAGGGTAAGAATTTTTCTAACTGTAAAATCATAAATCTTACTGCTTATTCTTAAGACAAATATTTTTAAAGGTTTTATTTGTTTAGTTTTAGAGAGAGGGGAAGGGAGTGAGAAAGAGAGGGAGAGAAACATCAGTGTGTGGTTGCCTCTTCCTGCCCCCTACTGGGAACCTGGCCCGCAACCCAGGCATGTGCCCTGACTGGGAATCAAACCGGCGACTCTTTGGTTCAGCTGGCGCTCAATACGCTGAGTCACACCAGCCAGGGCAAGACAACCATTTTTATATGAAGCCATTTTATCCCCTTAGATTGTGCTTATACACTTTAAAACCACATATTGCTGTCGCAGGGCATTGCATCTTATGCCCAAGAGAAATCTGTGAAATCTGCATATATCCTTTAGGTGTCTGAAAGCTGAACACTGCAGAGATGCCAACGATCACGTCTGCACGGACATGAAGGACCATCTCCCAGCCAAAGGTACTGAAGTCGCTTTTGAGGAGCCATAGGACAGTACCAATAATCCAAGAAAACAGTTAACCTAAAGATCTTTAGAGCTGGCTTTGTAATGTGTTTTGTCCTTTTATTTGAACTTGAACGTGTTTGAAGTAAATGGAGATGAAAGCCATTTAAAATGTAATCATAGTCCCAGGAGGAAGAACACATCAAAGGACCTGTCAAGTCTCCATCTCTGTCCCCCTGGTTTTGTGTTTCTCAGCTGAGGTTGGTCATTAAGCAAATCTCAGCAGCAGAAAAGGCTCCCGCTGAGGCCCGGCCCCTCCCTCTGAGGCCCGGCCCCTCCCTCTGAGGCCTGGCCCCTCCCTCTGGCAGGCCCTGTCTCTAACAGTCCCATCTACAATGTCCAGGGCTAGCAGCTGATCCATACCTTCCTTGGGCAACGGTAGACAAGCGCTTTGGTTTCAAAGGCAGACAACATTAACCTCCTTCCATTTAAGCCAACTCTGAAAAGGACTTCTGACTTCTTCCTCTGTTGGAGGAAGCAACCCCCGAATAATGCTGATAGCATTGTGCTACAACCGTGCATGGGACTCCCCGGGCCTGCCGCTCTGCAGGGCGGCCGCAGCCGAGCCTTTCCAACAGCAGACTTGGTAGAGAGGTCTTCTGGGAACTCCATTCTCATATCCAGGACAACTTGGGGTGATCCTAGGACCACCCGGCTCACGTATCTCAAAGGGGGGGGAGGTTTGAGTCTTCATAAACATATGACGGCTGTGAACCCTCTCTGCCTAGCCTGGGGCCTCACCTGTGTTGACAAAGGCAAGGGAGGAGCACCTCCCCAGGCCACACGTACAAGATAAACAGTGAGTCACTTCCTCCCCAGCATTCTGAGTCCTGGTTTTTCTAAGGCAAATACTAACCACATGTCAGGCAGAGTTCAGTGAACAGTCATGGTCACGGGCTTAGGCCTCTTTGGTACCGAACTCTAACCTAACTGCCCGAGTCAACCACAAAGGACAGTGAGGGAAAACTTAATGGGACCTGAACCCCGAACAGTGGACTTTTCAGTGCCACACTCCAGTCAATACAAACTTGTTCCAGGTTGCTGGATTCCTGGCTAGGCAGATAAAAAGATAATGGCAAGAAAGGTAGAGACCAGGGGTGGAGGAGTGGGGAGGTGGGATTTCTTAGCCACAGAGTTATGTTCCTGGAATTCTCCGTTAGACCAGGAAAAGAATTTTCCCAAAGAAAAAGTATTACAAATGAAATCAGGCTTAAAAGATTGCAAGATTATAATCCTATTCTGTTTTGAACACTCTTTTGTAATTTAGCACAAATAGTTTCCCCTCAGAGGGAAAGTACATTTAAAGCTAAGACAAAGAAACTTCAGAAAACTGCATATCTGTGAGCTGAGAACTCACTTTGCTGGAGAACCAAGTGCTTTCATCTTTCAGTCCATCATTTTGAGCAGCGCTGGCCAGTGATAAAAAAAAAATCAACTGAACTTTCAATCATTTTAATGAAAATGAAACAGTAAGTCAACCCTCCCCTCCCCCCACCCCCATCTTCCTGTTGAGCAGTTGCCTCATGCAAGGTCTAAGCAACTGATGAACTGGTTATAGTTATGACTGGTTATACTTACGACCATCCTGTACCCCCTCAGAACATCTCTTATTACATACTGGCTGCCTGCCTCGCCCACCTCACCAGAACACAAGCTTCACAGGAAAGGGGTTTCTGATTTGTCCACTATTGCAGCCCCTGCCAAACACATAGTAGGCACTTACTAAATATCTGTTGAATGAAGGAATGCGTAAAATGGCTGACTCACAGTAAATACTAATGAAGGATTTGTGAATAAAATGTCTTTAAGAATATTGATGTCATTGATGTCAAATAGAACCTTTAAGCAGGCAAAGGAGGAGTAACTTGCTCAGAAAATCGTTATTTACAGTGACCTTGAGCACCAGAAACCCATATTTTTAGGTTGGGGTGTGCAAATAGTGTCTGAGAACTCTGTACCACAAAGACATGGTTCCATTTCATAGCCACACATTGTAGATAGCACTGTTCGACTTACAGAAGGCTCAGCCGAAGCTGGCTTCCAGGCAGCACGATCCAGCAGAACTGAAACCAGAGAGGAATAAACCTGTGCACCGACAACCTCTGGAATAGGGAGCGCCCCACCCCCCAATCCAGTTAAAAGGCAGTAAGCGAATAGCCAGAGCTGCAGGAGGCTGCTCTGGCTGGGACCCTTCAGCGGTAGGTCGCCAGGGTTCTCTCGGAGGTCTCCATCCCAAGGTGTCAGTGCCACAGGTTAGAGCAACAATTCGCTTTCCTGGTCACAGTGGATCACAGGTAACAACAAGATTTTGCCCGGCTTAGTAACCGGCTGGTCCTAACCCCCACCTAACACGCGCATGCACACACACACACACACTCTTCCCCACTGGAGGTGAGGAGATGGGTGGACCTGGAGAAACCGCCATAGTGGGAGGATCCGAGGCTGAAGACTGGCCGGTGACCTTGGCGTCCTGGGGCCCAGCCCTGCCCTCACGGTGGGGTTAGGCTAGAAGGCGCCCCCCACCTCGGCTGTTCTCGCAGAGCCTGAGCGTGGGGCCCAGCCTTGCGGGGAGAGGAGGACGCCTCGCCCGCGGCCGAACGCCAGGCAGCAGGAGGTGCAGGACGCTGTTGGGGCGGCGGGGCACTCACCTGCAGCAGCACCGCCAATAGGAAGCACAAGTACATCTGGTAGATGCCCATCTCCCCTACCACCTGGAACGCCTCCTCCACCTCCATGGCGCCCCCGACTCTGGCGGGGCCCTCGCTCCCCCGGCACCCGCTCCGGTCCCGCTTAGGTGGGAGCGCGCGTGTGGCGGGTGGAGCGCGGGGCGCAGGCAGCGCGGAATCCTGGGCTGCGCGCGGAGGACGTGGAATTGGAGCTGGATGCCCGGTACCCTGGCCTCTGCTTCCCGTTACAGAGCTTTTCTTGGAGATGGATCGGTGCCCGCGCCGCTGGAACGGAGAGGAAGAGGAAGTGGCTTGGCGAGAGGCGCCCTTTCCGATGGAGAAAATGGGAACTGCAGCCGCGTCCAACTCAGGCCCCTGCTTCGGGGCTTAGAGGGCGCAATAACTGTTGGGCGGCTTGGGGGCGACTCAGCATTACTTGTCCCTTTGTATCAATCAGTTCAGTATAAGAGGTGGGGAGGGGACGTTCTAGACCCTTCAGAGAAGGGTACCGTTCAACATTTCTTCCCAATCCTACAAGCCTTGCACAACTGTGAGATAGATTTGCTCATAGAACTATGCACAAGGTACAGAGGAAACACAAAAGGGGAAAGATTGCTCTGTGGGGGCAGGAGGCCATGGCTGCCAAGGTGTTTGAAGGATAAACAGCAGCTTGTGGGTTGGAAAGGTGAAGAAAGTTGTGGCAGGGCCCAGGGTCAGTGGTCGCCTCCCTTAGTCCCCTTATTCGTCCACCTCCGAAGGCTGGTTTTAACAGCTGCATAGTATTCCATTGTCCAGGCCGTGACCCCCACACAATATTGGACAGAAGAGGTGCAACCTGCTAATGTTTTATCCACAATTTTACATCTGAGAGTGAGACAGGCCAATAGTTTTCTTTTCTTCCTACTGACCTTGTCTGGATTTGGCAGTGGCATTATAGTGCTTAGTAAAATGAGTGAAAGTCTTTGGTAAATCTCTCCATGAAACCATCTCATCTTGGCTGGTTTTCCAGAAAGAGGCTCTTCATTGCCGAGATAGGTGGGTGGGTAGGTACCACGTGTCTTTATGGTTTTGTGTTCTTTAATTACGTTTAGTTATTTTTTATAGAAACATTTCTATTTTAGCTAGTTTTTATAAAATATCTTTTAAAAAACATTTAGGGAGTAAAATAAAAACATTTAGGGAGTAAAATAAAATAATCTGATTTCCACCTAACAGTTTATTAATTTAGCCATATGTCATATGAAATATTAATTTATAATTTTTCACTCCTGCACATCATGATGTCAAAGAAAAAATTTTAAAAGTCAGGAATATGACCCTTTTACCAATATAAAATGAACCCAAGTTCATTTTGGAATAAACTTGTTCATCTTGTTCTCTCAGGGTTTCTTAAAACCATGCTCTAGCTGTCTTTGTGCCCTGTTTTCAATCTTAATATTGTCCGTTGTTCAGTGTCCCATTCTTATCAGTCTTGCCAGAGGTTTTCTGCTTTATTATTTATTAAAGGACCAGTTTTCATCTTCTGAGTTTTCTATCTTTTTTTGTTTTCTTGTTTATGAATTCTATCAATTCCTTGCTTTCTTACTTTTGTTACTCTGCAATTCTCTTACTAGCTACATGGCTTGAAAGTTTAGCTTACTTTCCATTTTCTTTTTCTTTAAAGAATAATTATGCTCAAGGCTTTGCATTTCTGTCTGGGCACTACTCTGCTCTGGCAACAGGTTCTGTCACAGGGCGCTGTCCATGTCCTTAGTTTAAAACGTTCCAGGACATTATGATTTCCTCTTTACCTGATGGACTGTTATCTATTCAGTGCTTTTTTTTTTTTAGTTCCCAATGAAAGTTGTTGCCACTTTAAAACCATATTTTTATCGTTAATTACTAACTTAAATGATTGGTGAACAGAGATGATACTGAGTCTTCAGAAATTGCATTTTCTTGCAACCTAGTGTGTGGGTACTTTAGAAAAATGTACTGAATGTATTGAAAATATTCTCGCTTTAACCAATGAGCAAAATAGAGCCAGAGGCATGGAAATAAAGAACAAACTGACAGAGCTGGGGGGGAAGGGGAGTGTCAGGGGGAGGGGGATGACAGGGGAAAGAAGGGGAAGGGGCAAGCCAAGGAACCAGAATAGAGGACGCACGGTCATGGATAATGCTGGCGGGGGGGGGGGGGGGGGGGGAGAACAATGAGGTGGGACAGCTATAACTGAACTATTTTTTAAAAAGAAAATATTCTCAATTCATTTGGATGTAATGTTCTCTATATGTTAGATCAAGCTTCTTAATATTATTCAAACAGTCTGTATTACTCCTGGATTTTTTTTCAATCTGTTAGCTGCATCTGTTTTTAATAAATTCATCGGTTTTTATACCATATATGTTTTTAATAAATAATTACCATTTTTGAGTTTTTATCAAGTTATTTCTATTTCTATAGGTCATAAAAGTACCAATTAAATCATTCCCTGTATCATAATAAATAGCTTTTTTTAACGCTTTTTGTCTTACTTTTGTCTAATGTTAATTAGATAATTAACATTAATTATTAATATGATTGCCACATCAAATTTTTGAAATTACTTTCTTTGTCATCTTTTTATTTTCATCCTTTTGGTTTTGTTACGTTCTAGGCATGTTTCTGGAAGAAGAATTTTTTTTTGACCCATTCAATTTGATAGTCTCTGTATTTCAATAGGTGCATTAAGTCCATTTATATTTATTGTGGGTTACATATTTGGAACACTTTCTACCATTTTCTTTCATTTTTCTTTTTACCATCTTACTTTTTCCTTCAGGCCTCTGGTGGAGTCTTAAGGCCATTTCTATATTGCCCTTCGCTCTTTGCTCCTTTGGGGGGCTATTGATTTGCGTTATTACCATGACTTTGGTGGTTACTACTACACTGTAAACACCCACGTAACTATATACTGTTGATAGTCATTTAACACAGTGCCTCTGTTTTCTTTGCAAACTCATGGGAGCCTACACAAGATTCCAAAAATGCTTATGTGGGTCATCTTAGGAGGGACATAAAAACGTTACATTCTGGAGAACTTTGCTGACCCAGGAAGTGATGACGGTAGTGCCAAAATACTGATGGAAGAGGTTTGTGAGGCATGTTTTAATTTAAAAAAAAACCTCTATTGTTAATAAAAAATGGTCCTGTACTTGAAAATAATAAGAAAGCAGGGAGAGGATTGTAGTGCACCCTTCCGTGCAATTCTGCAGTGTTGTGTAATGGTCTCACGCAGGATTATTTCATTCTGTAGAATGTACCTGTGTTCGACTTTGCTGTTTACTATGAACTAGAGTTCAGGCACCGTGCGGTTCTGTGAAAATCTATAGATTTTTGTTCGGTAGAGATATAAGTGATTACGTTCAATAGAAAAGACTGTCTATTATTTCACTGCCCTGTAAAACATGAACTCATTTTGTATTTAAGCTAGCCATCTTATTTTAACATTCTGGGGTTTTTTTTCCTGGAAATAACCAGTTTCTCAAATGTTCTTAGAATCAGCTTTATCATCCTACTTGGTTCCTTCATTAATTAAAATATCTATCTTGGGTTTATTCTATGTTGGTAAAAGAGTTATATTTTTGACTTTTGAAAGAAATTGACATAATGTGTGCAGCGAAAAAATTATAAATTAATAGTTTGCATGATATGTAGTTCAATTAATAAAGCACTAGGTAGAAACTGGATTACTTCCTTTTACTCCCTAAAAGGTTATATATTTTAAGTTAGCCAAAAACTCTTCCTTTTAGCATATATGTCCCAATATGAAGGAGATGGTTCCTCTGAGGACAGAGGGTGCACCTGGGGGATATCAGAGATAAGTTCTGATGGGGTGATAGAGGCCAGGCACGCAGGGCTGAGGAGTTTGAACTTTTTCCGGTGCGTGGTGGGGACCCGCTGCGGTGTTTGAAGCTGGAGTGTGATTTTTGCAAGGTGATCTGACAGCAGTCAAACACAGATATGCCGCTGAGATACCGCTGTGATGGCCAGGGAAAGGCCTTAGACCCAGTGAGGGTGGGAGGCCTTAACCCAGAACAGTGATAATGGGGAATGAAGAAATGAAGTCCAATTTAAGGTAAAATCTGTAAAAACTGATAATGATTGCATGTTGCAGAAACAGAAGAGGAATTGAAAATGACTCCTACATTTCTGGCGTCAATGACTAGAAAAATGGAGGCACTATGAACCGAGATGGGGAACATAGAAGGTGGAGTGGGTTGGTGGTGGTAGGTTCAAGGGCCTATGGCTGGAATCATGGGGATCAGAAGTATTTATTGCTCTTTCAAATGGTTGCTACCCCTTTAAGATCCTGCCCTTCCCCCTTAACCCACCCAGGCCCAGCTGGATTTCTTTGCCCTAATTTACAATCACTGCCAGGGCTTCTGAACAGGAGCTGAAGGAAGAGCTGGACTAATTAAAGCTCTCCTGAGACCCAAGGTATTGCATCTGTGGCTCTCAGCAAAGAGTTCCATTTTGAGGACATATTTTCACCATCTAACCACTCTTTTCTCATTTTCCTCTTTCTCGAGTCTTTTCTTCCATAATTTTATAGTACCTGTATCTTTTATACTTCAGGGGTAATGAACATCTAGGGTATTTTAAATAATAAAAAATGAAAATAATATTTAGGGTATCTATCCAGCATATACTTTTGGGGCTACGAGAGGGGAAAAAAGGTTAGCTTTATCTGGTGAATTACATAAAGCTTTGAAGCAAATACACTCAATCGTTATCGTTTTACGTGCACCTGTACACCTGACCGCACTGTCATGTCTTCTGCTTCATAGGTAATTTGGTGTCCCAGGGGCCTACTGAAATGTGATGTGTGAGATAATAGACTTCATGTATGTTTTGTTGTATCAAACCCTTGGAAATCAGTGTTGTACACTAGCCTAAAGGTGCCCAGAGTTACTGTATTTTTAAAAAGTCTGGAGAATATTTTTCCTTCTGCAAAAACCTTCCTGCTGAGATAACCCTTGATCATCAGTGTGCAACACGCCTTAACAAATATAGCACAGTGAAAATGAAGGGAATAACCAGGTCAGGAAGCCAGCTTTTGTGGGTAGATGTCTGGGAGGAGAAGCAAAAAGAAAAGAGAGGTAGCAGTGAGATGGACATGTCTCTGACATCTGGCCGCTCAACCCAGGAACCATCGTTCAGAAACCATCCTTAAGGTGGCGAAGAAACATACGCTAAAATAGATCTAAGTTTAATGTAAAGAAATAGGCCATTGCTCTGGCTCAAACCTTAGTCATAAAACAAAGGAGTATGCACT